CTGAGGCCCAATGGAGGGTCAAACCTGGATCAGCATCCCAAGGATGCTGGGGGCTCTGGGGGAGCACTGCATTTTGGGGCTTGAAGTGACCGATCCCTTGAAGCTCCTCATGTTGGTTGTGCATTACTGTGGGCCTCAAGGTGCCCACAAGGGGATCAAGCCTTCTCCCTGCCTGCCGACCCATTCCCCCTCCTAGGACACCTCCCAGGGAGTCATTGCTTAATGACCCCGGGCTCCTTGTTTCTTTCACTGGGCCATGGTGGCCAGGGTCTCTGTGCAGCCTCAACCATGGCAGGTGATTGGAAGGCACTGGCTTGGTGGGAGGTCTCAGACACCACTGGGGTGGTTTCGGGTGGCCAGGGTCTCAGTGTGGCCACAAACATAGTAGGTGAGTGGAGTCACTGGGCTTCGAGGGAGGCCATAGACACCGTCCGGAATGTGTGCAGGAGGCCTGTGTCTGGGGGCGCCCACATGAGGGTCAGGCTAGGAAACCTGGATGGCTGGAGAGGGTGGATTTCCCCATTGAAGGTCCGCCCTTGGGCCATCCCAGGTGCAGGGGAATCAAAAGAATGGCCAGGCCCCTGACAAGGACCAGAAAGTGCAGGGACGCCACTGTCAGGCAACGATTAGCTGAGGGACCTCCCTGCCTCACGGTGTGCCCCATGTGCCCATCCAGATGGTGGATATAGGCCCCTTGGGGCCACTGGTGGTTGTCCCCCTCAGACCTGGGGTGTTCATGAGGCCCCGGACCTTGGCAAGTTGCCCTGGGCCAGAGAGCACAGAGCTCCTGTCACATGCACCCAACTCCCAAGGAGCTTGGGCCCCCTCGGGGAACTGGGGAGTTCCCCTCTCCAATCCCTTGGGCCGCCGAGACAGGAAGGGCCAACCTGACCTAGGAGGGTAATCTTGAGTCCCTCGGCACAACAGGCGATGTCCTTGGGCCTATCGTAGCAGCAATCTAGATCTGAGGGAGTGATCCCAGCAATGAGGCCCAGCGGTGCAGGGAGAAGGCCCCCGTGAACAGTGGGAATGGGCGGCATGCCTGGTTGTGAGCACGCTGTTAGCGCAGCATCCATTCCTCTGCCCTCAGGACCCTGAGGGCTGTGGGTCCCCATGTCCTTGAGGGCACCAGCCCAATTCCGGGTGTCAGAGATGGCCAATCTGTGGGAGGGCGAGGCTCTAACTGTACATACCAGGGCACCAACCCTTTATGCCTGGCCCAGAGTCCACAGCGTGCTACCTCTCAGGAAGCCTGTGGGGCTTCTGGGGGGCACCATCAGCAAAGCTCAGCTCTCATGAGGGCCATGGTCTTTGTTGTTTCGTGGTCTAGGTATGGACATTTCTGCTCCTGTTGCTTGCCCTTTCTGTGCGGTCCCCCACCGTATGCCAGCCGGCCTCACACCTTGCCATGTGATGCCAGGATTTCTGGACTGGAAGCTCTTGGCTACAATGGCAGGTGCTGGGAGCAGTGGGTTTTGACACCTCGCCTACCCTTCTTTCCCCAGATCCTGTCCCCAAATGAGGATCCCACCCTGAAGGCCAAGTCTTGCTACGCCCAGGCACTGCAAGATGCCCAAAATCTCGTGCCCCCACCCCTCCCCCTGGACATCCCACTCTACATTAAGCACCACTGGTAAGCAGGTTCGTGGGACAGGGGAGTGCCCACCTGCGTTGCCACTGCCTTCCTTGGGTCAATGATGAGAACTCATAATGTCTTGAAGAGAGATGATGACCTAAAAATCATGCTCAATAGGATTACTCTGAGGCCCAATGGAGGGGATCATGCCGTGGTCAGCATCCTGAAGATGCTCAGAGCTGCAGATTGGGGCTTGAGGTGACCATTCCCTCAAGGCTCCCCACTGTGACTATGAACTGACTGTGGGTCTCCAGGTGCCCATGAGTGGATCAAGCCGTCGGGCTTGCCTGCCGACCCATTTGTCCTCCAAGTACCCCTCCAGAGGAGCCATTGCTTTGCAACCCTGATCTCCTTGTGTCTTTCTCGGGCCATGGAGGCCTGTGTCTTGGCACGGCCACAACCAGGGCAGGTGAATGGAAGCCACTGCACTTGGAGGGAGGCTGCAGATGTCATTGGGGTGGGTCATGAGAGAATATGGCTGGGAGCCCTCGATGTCCAGAGAGGGTGGACTTCCCCCTTGATGGTCCGCCTTGGGCCATCCCACATGCAGGGGAAACGAAAGATAGGCCAGGTCCCTTACAAGGACGAGAAAGTACAGGGATGCCACCGTCACCCAGTTCACCTGAGGGATCTTGCTGCTTCATGGTGTTCCCCATGGGCCCATCCAGATGGTGGATGTGGGCCGTGTGGGACCACTGGCGGCTGTCCACCTCAGCCCTTGGCTTTTGCTGAGGCCCTGGCACTTGGCAAGGTGTCCTGGGCAGAAGAGCCCAGAGTTCCTGTTGCATGCACCCGACTCCCAAGGAGTTTGGGCCCCCTCAGGGCAGCTGGGAGTTCCCCTCCCCAATCCCTTGAGCTACTGAGACAGGAAGGGCCCACCGGGTCTAGGAGGGGAATCTCAAGTCCCTGGGCACAACAGGTGATGGCCCTGGGGCTCTCGCCCTGACACTCTAGACTTAATGGAGTTATCCAGGGGAAGAGACTCAGCAGGTGCAGGGAGAGGCCCCCCACTGCGTGGCAGGCAGGTAACAGCATGCCTTGGTTGCATGCATGTGTTTGGCCCAGCATTCATTCCTCTACCCTGGGGACCCTGGGGTCATGGCTTCCCATGTCCTGGAGGGCACCTGCCTAGCTTCGGGTGTCATAGATGGCCAATCCATGGGAGGGTGAGGCCTTGGTCCTACCTACCAGGACAAGCTCCTTGCATACCATGCCCTGCTCCTACACCGTGCTACCTCTCAGATAGCCTGTGTGCTGGCCTTCTCCTGGGGGGAAGCCTCAGCAAGGCTTGGCTCCCTGGGGGGCCATGCTCTCTGTTGTTTTGTGGTCCAGGTATGGGCATCTCGGCTCCTGAAGCCTGCTCCTTTCTTACGGTTCCCGCTGTGTGCCATCCAGCCTGAACCCTTGCCAGGCGGTGCCACAATTTTGGGACTGGCAGCTCTTGGCCACAGGGGTAGGTGCCCCAGAGAATGGCGTTTTGACACCAGGCCTACCATCTCTCCCCAGATCACGTACCCAGATGAAGATCCCGCCCTGAGGACCAAATCTTCCTAGGCCCAGCCCTGGCAACTGGCCCAATGTCTCCTGCCCTGACACCCTCCAGGGTAGTCCACTCTACAGTAAGTTCCCCTGGTAAGCCGATTCGGGGGACAAGAGAGTCCCACCTGCATTGCTACTGCCTTCCATGGGTGAATGTTGAGAGCTCATACTGTCTCGAAGAAAGATGATGACCTAAAAATCATGCTCAATAGGATTACACTGAGGCCCATTGGCAGGGTCCATCCGACGTCAGCATCCTGAGGATGCTCAGGGCCCTGGGGGACCACTGCAGTTTGGGGCTTGAGGTGACCGATCCCTTGGGGGTCCCTGCTGTGGCTATGGACTGACTGTGGGCCTCCAGGTGCCCAAAGGTGCTCAGGCTTTCGGCCTTGCCTGCTGAATTATTCCTCCTAACAGGATGCCTCCAAGGGAGCCATTACTTCGCAATCCTGGACTTCTTGTGTTTCTGCGGTCTGTGGTGGCCAGGGTCTCCATGCGGTATCAACCATGGAAGGTGATTGGAAGCCATTGGGCTTGGAGGGAGGCCAAGAAGCCATAGGGGTGGGTTTGGGAGACTGGTATCTTGGTGGCAGCTGCATGAGCTTAGGTCTGGTAGCCCTGGATTTATGGTGAGGGTGGACTTACTTCTTGAAGGTCCACCCTTCGGCCATCCCACCTGCAAGGGAAGGGAAAGTTTGGCCTTGTCCCTGACAAGGACTGGAAAGTTCAAGGACACCACCGCCAGCCCACGTTCAGCAGAGAGCTCATCCTGCTTCATGTTGTGATGCATTGGCCTGTCCAGATGGTGGACCTGGGCCCCTTGGGCCACTGGCAGCTGTCCCCCTCAGCCCTGGGCTGTTCCTGAAGCCCTGGCCCTTGCCAAGGTGACCCAGGTGGGACAGCCCAGAGCTTCTGTTGCACGCACCCAACTCCCAAGGAACTTAGGCCTCCTCGGACCAGGTGGAGAGCACTCCTCCTTGATCCCTTGGGCTGTCAAGACAGAAAGGGCCCACCAGGCCAAAGAGGGGAATCTTAAGTTCCTGGGTGCAACAGGCAATGGCCCTGTGCCTCACGCAGTGGCCCTCTAGACCTGAGGAAGTGATCCTAGGAAGAGGCCCATCAGATAAAGGAGAGCGCCCCCCTGCAAGGGGTCAGTGGGCGGCATGACCTGTTTGCATGCATGCAGTTGGCCCTGTATCCATTCCTCTGCCCTGGGGACCCTGGGGCCGTGGCTCTCCATGTCCTCAAGGGCACCTGCCAGGCTCGGGGTGTGACAGATGGCCAATACATGGGAGGGCGAGGGCCTGGACTTACCTACCACGGCACGCACCCTTCATGACCGGCCCCACACCCACAGGTTGCTACCTCTTGGGAAGCATGTGTGCTGTGCCTTCTTCTGGGGGGCAGCATCAACAAGGCTCATTTCCTTCAGGGACCATACTCTCCATTTTTTTCAGGGTCCAGGTATGGGCATCTCTGCTCCTATAGCCTGCCCCTTCCTTAGAGTCACCCACTATGTGCCGGCCAGCCTAAAGCCTTGCCATGGGATGCCAGGCTTTCGGGACTGGCACTTCTTGGCTGCAGGGGCATGTGCCATGCAGCAGGGTGTTCTGACACTTGGCATACCCCTCTCTTCCCAGATGGAATCCCCAGACAAAGATTCCTCCCTGAGGGCCACATCTTGCTAGGCCCAGCCCCTGCAAGAGGCGCAAAGTCTCATGACTCCATCCACACCCCCCCCGGGGCACCCCACTCTACAATAAGCACCCCAGAAAGTAGGTTCAGGGGATGGCATAACACCCACTGCGTCGTCACTGCCTTGCTTGGGTCAATGATGAGAACTCATATTGTCTCTGAAGAGAGATGATGACCTAAAAATCATGCTCAATAGGATTACTCTGAGGTCCAATGGAGGGTACCATGCCGGGATCAACATCCCAAGGTTGCTTGGGGTCCAGGGGGAGTGCTGTAGTTTGGGGCTTGAGGTCACGGTTCCCTCAATGTTCCCCACTGTGGCTGTGGTTTTTCTCTGGGCCTCCAAGTGCCCAAAGGGTCTCAGGCCTTCGACCTTCCCTGCTGACCCATTCCGCCTCCCAGGACACCTCCTGGGGAGCCATTGTTTAGCACCTGGTTCTTGTGTCTTTCAGTGGGCCATGGTGGCCAGGGTCTCTGCACGGCTTCAAACATGGCAGGTGAGTGGAAGCCACTGGGCTTAGAGGGAAGTGGCAGATGACATTGGGGTGGGTTCGGGTACCTGTCCCTGGATGGTGGCTGCATGGACATCGGACTGGGAGCCCTGGATGTCTGTAAAGGGTGGACTTCCCCCTTGACAGTCCGCCCTCAGACCATCTCATGTGCAGAGGAAGGAAATGTTTGGGTGGTTCCCTGACAAGGACCGGAAAGTGTAAGGGCACCAACGTCAGCCCACGTTCAGCTGAAGGCTCTTGTTGCTACATGGTGTGCCCCATGGGCCCATCCAGATGGTGAGACGTGGGCCTCTTGAGCCACTGGCATCTGTCTACCTGGGCCCTGAACATTCCTGAAGCACTGGTCCTTGGCAAGTTGCCCCAGGTGGGAGAGCCCAGAGCTCCTGTCGCATGCACTTGACTCCCAAGGAGTTTGGGCCCACTTGAGGCAGCTGGGGAGCTCCCCTCTTGATCCCTTGGGGTGCATAGACAGGAAGAGCCCACTGGGGCTAGGAGGGGAATCTCGAATCCCTAGGCACAACAGGCGATGACACTGGGCCTATGGTCGTAGCACTCTAGACCTGAGGGAGTGATCCCAGGAAGAGGCCAAACAGGTGCAGGGACAGGGTCCCCCTGCATGGCAAACAGTGGATGGCATGCCTTGGTTGCATGGACGTGATTACCCTGGCATCCATTCCACTGACCTTGGGGCCCTGGGGGCCATGGATCCCCGTGTCCTCAAGGTCACTTGCCCAACTCCAGGTGCCAGAGATGGCCAATCTCTGGGAGGGCAAAGGCCTGGTCCTACCTACCAGGGAATGCACCCTTCAAGACCGGCTCCCCAACCACAGTGTGCTACCTCTTGGGAAGCGGTATGCCAGGCCTTCTGGGCGGCAGCATCAGCAAGGCTCGGCTCCCTCAGGGGCCACACTCTCCATTGTTTCAGGGTCCAGGTATGGGCCTCTCTGCTCCTGTAGCCTGCCCCTTCCTTTCGGTTCCCCGATGTGTGCTGGCAATTCTCACAACTTGCCATGTGGCACCAGGCTTTCCAGACTGGCAGCACTTGGCCACAGGGACAAGTGCCCCAGTGCAGAACATTTTGACAGCTGGCCTACCCCTCACTCCCCAGATGCCATCCCCAGATGAAGACCCCGCCCTGAGGTCCAAGTCTTGCTAGGCCAAGCCCCAGCAAGAGGCCCAACATCTCGTGCCATCACTCCCCTCCCAGGGCATCCCGTTCTACAGTAAACACCCAGGGTAAGCTGGTTCGGGGGATGGGAGAGCACCTGCCTGCATTTCCATTGCCTTGCTTGGGTCAGTGATGAGAACTCTTATGTCTTGAAGAGAGATGATGACCTGAAAATCATGCTCAAAAGGATTACACTGAGGCCCAATGGAGGGGACCATCACTGGGTCAGCATCCAGAAGATGCTCATGGCCCTGGGGGAGAGCTGCTATTTGGGGCTTATAGCGACTGTTCCCTCAAGGCTCCCCACTGTGGCCGTGGTGTGACTGTGTGCCTCCAGGTGCCCAAAGGTGCTCAGGCCTTCTGCCTAGCCTGCCGACTCATTCCCCCTCCCAGGATGCCACCCAGGGAGCCATTGCTTAACAACCCTGGTCCCCTTGTGTCTTTCAGTGGGCCATGGTGGCCAGGGTCTCCATGTGGCCTCAACCATGGCAGGTGAGTGGAATCACTGGGCTTGCAGGGAGGTCGCAGATGCCATCAGGGTTGGTTCGGGAGGCCTGTGTCTGGGAGGCGGCCCTATGGCCATTGGGCCGGGAGCCCTGGATGTCTGGAGAGAGTGGACTTACCCCTTAAAGGTCCCCCCTTGGGCCATCCCATGTTCAGGGGTAGTGAAATGTTGGCCGGGTCCCTGACAAAGACCAGAAAGTGCAGGGATGCCACCGTCAGCCCACATTCAGCTGAGGGCTCTTGCTGCTTCATGGTGTGCCCCATTTCCCATCCAGGTGGTGGACTTTGGCCCCTTGGGGGCCACTGGCGGCTGTCCCTCTTGGCCCTGGGGTGTTCTTGAAGCCTCAGCCCTTGGCAAGGTGCCCCGGGCAGGAGAGCCCAGAGCTCCTATCACATGCAACCAACTCTGAAGGAGCTTGGTCTCCTGCAGGGCAGCTGGGGAGCACCCTCCTCGATCCCTTAGGCCGCTGAAGCAGGAAGGGCTTACCGGGACTTGGAGGGGAATCTCAAGTCCCTGGGCACAACAGGCGATGGCCCTGCGACTATCGTCATGGCACTCTAGACCTGAGGGAGTGATCCAGAAGAGGCCCAGGTGTAGGGAGAGGGCTCTCTTGCATGGCAGGCAGTGGGCGGCATGCCTTGGTTGCATGCATGCGGCTGGCCTGGCATCCATTCTTCTGCCTTAAGGACCCTGGGGGCTGTGGCTCCCCATGTCCTCGAGGGCACCTGCCCAGCTCCGGGTGCAACAGATGGCCAATCCATGGGAGGGCAGGGTCTGGCCCTACCTACCAGGGTACTCACACTTCACAACGGTTCCAGCCCCCACAGCATGCTACCTCTCAGGAAGCCTGTGTGCTGGGCCTTCTTGGGGGGCAGCATCAGCAGGAATCTGTTCCCTCAGGGGCCACACTCTCTGTTGTTTTGGGGTCCAGGTATGGGCATCTCTGCTACTGTAGCCTGCCTTTTCCTTGGGGTCCCTGCCGTGTGCTGGCCAGCCTCAAGCCTTGCCATGCACTGCCATGGTTTCAGACTGTCAGCTCTTGGCTGCAGGGACAGGGCCCCGGTGCAGGATGTTTTGACAGCTGGCCTACCCCTCTCTCCCCAGATCCTGGCCCAGATGAAGATCCTGGCCTGAGGGTCAAGTCTTCCTAGGCCCTGCAAGGAGCCCAATGTGTCTTGCCCCCATCCACGCTCATCCGGGGTGTCATGCTCTAAGTAAGCACCCTGGTAAGCAGGTTCGGGGGATGGGAGAACGCCTGCCCACGTCACCACTGCTTTGCTTGGGTCAATGAGGAGAACTCATATTGTCCCAAAGAGAGATGATGACCTAAGAATCATGCTTAATAGGATTATGCTGAAGCCCAATGGAGGGGACCATTCTTGGATCAGCATCCCCAGGATGCTCAGGGCCCTGGGCAGTGCTACAGCTTGGGGTTTCAGCTGACCCATCCCTCGAGGCTCCCCCCTGTGGTTGTGGCCCCCTCCAGGGGCCCAAAGGGTTTAAGGACTTCAGCTTTGCCTGGTGACTCATTCCCCCTCCCAGGACGCCTCCCGGGGCGCCATTGTTTGTCAACCCTGGTCTCTTTGTGTCTCTTAGCGGGCCATGCTGGCCAGGGTCTCAGCACATCCTGAACAATGACAGGTGAGTGGAAGAACCCTGGGCATTGAGGGAGGCTGCAGATGCCTTTGTGGTGGGTTCAGGAAGCCCATGTCTGGGAAGCGGCCACATGGGAATCAGGCCAGGAGCCCTGGATGTCCAGAGAGTGTGACATTTCCCTTGAAGGTCTGCCCTTGGGCCATCCCACATGCAGGGGAAGTTAAATGTTGTCAGGGTCCTGGACAAGGACTGGAAAGTGCAGGGATGTTGCTGTCAGTCCATGTTCAGCTGAGGGACCTCGCTGCTTCATGGTGTGCCCCATGGGACCATCCAGATGGTGGACATAGGCCCCTTTGGGCCACTGGTGGTTGTCCCAAATGGCCCTGGGCTGTTCCTGAAGCCCTCAACCTTGGTAAGGTGTCCCGGGCTGGAGAGCTCAGAGCTCCTTTCACATACATCGACTCCCAAGGGACTTAGGCCCCCTTGGGGCAGCTGGGGAGTTCCCATCCCTAATCCCTTTGGCTGATGAGACAGGAAGGGGTCACTCGGCTTAGGAGGGGAATCTCGAGTCCCTGGGTGCAACAGGCTATAGCCCTGGACCTATCACAGCAGCAATCTAGACCTGAGAGATTGATCTGAGGGAAGAGGCCCAGCAGGTACAGGGAGATGTCCCCCTTGTACGGCGGGCAGTGGGAGGCATGCCTTGTTTGCGTGCACATCTTGTTTGCCCAGCATCCATTTCTCTGCCTTGTGGGCCCTGGGGGCAGTAGCTCCCTATGTCCTCAAGAGCACCAGCCCAGCTCTGGGTGCCACAGATGGCCAACAGTGGGAAGGCAAGGGCCTGGCCCTACCTACGAGGGCATGCACACTGCACATTGGGCTGCATGCCCACTGCGTGCTACCTCTCAGGAATCCGATGTGTCGAGCCTTCTCCTGGGGGCCAGCATCAGCGAAGCTTGGCGCCCTTGGGGGCCATGTTCTCCATTGTTTCTGGGTCCAGGTATGGGCATCTCTGCTCCTGTAGCCACCCCTTCCTTGTGTCCCTCCACCGTGTGCCAGGCTGCCTCATGTGTTGCCAGGCATTGCCAGGATTCCAGGAGTGGATCCTCTGGGACACAGGGGTAGGTTCTCTGGAGCAGGGCATTTTGAGAGCTGGCCTACCCCTCTCTCCCCAGATTGTGTCCCCAGTTGAAGAACCTGCCTTGAGGGCCAAGTTTTGCTAGGCCCAGCACCAGCAAGAGGCCCAACATTTCATGCCCCCGCACCCCCACTGGGCATCCTGCTCTACAGTAGGCACCCCTGAGGAGCAGTTTAGGGGACGGTGAGCACCCTAAACTGGTCGCCACTGCCTTCCTTGGGTTATGCGGCACAAGGCTTTCAGACTGGCAGCTTTTGGCCACTGAGGCAGGTGCCCCACAGCCCCACATTTTG